ACTATCACAATGTGTTAGATCACCACAGATTGAATTTTTGCCTTGTTGTTACTGTTGGTCCCATTTTACTCCCCTCATGTTTACATACATTTATATATCAGCCAATTAAGACAAATGTTCATGCATCTGATCAGTACTCAAAAGCTTATTGCTTTGCAATATATTGGTTAGTCTCTAATCCAGGCATGGACAAACTTGGGCGCTCCAGGTGTTTTGGACTTCAACTCCCACAATTCCTAACAGCCTATTGGTTGTTAGGAATTGTGGAAGTTGAAGTCCAAAACACCTGGAGGACCAAAGTTTGCCCATGCCTGCTTTAAACAATTAGAACCTTTTAGAGATGTGAGGACCTTTCCTCAAAAGAGATGACTTTTTCTTTCACCAACCTCCGCTTTTCTGATGCTTTCCATTTTGGTAAAGCAAGTGCTAGTTTGACAAGGCCTTTAATCTTCTCTGTCAAAGATAGCTGATGCCTCACCCAACTACAAATCCCAGGACCACATAGTTTTAAGCCATGACAGTCAGAGTGGTCCCAGACTGCAGTAATCCTACAGTGTAGAGCAGAGCTTTTCCAAATTGTGAGTCAGGACACACTAATGCAGTGGTTCTCAACCTGTGGGTCCCCAGGTGCTTTGGCCTACAACTCCCAGAAATCCCAGTCAGTTTACCAGCTGTTAAGATTTTGGGAGTTGAAGACCAGAACATCTGGGGACTCACAGATTGAGAACCACTGCACTAGTGTGTCACCAGCAGTCCCTCAGTGTGTCACGTGAAAAATCCTTTCCTGCCCACTGCCACCACAAACAAAGGCTGGTGATGTTCAAGTGTAGGTATTTATTTATTTACTGCATTTATATACTGCTTTTCTCACCCCTGGGGGAGTCAAAGCGATTTACAGCATAATAATGTCAAAATTCAATGCCAAACATACATGTGAAAACCAAAGCATAACTAGACAATAACATATAACTATGAAATTAAAACCATTAACCATATTAAAACATGCAACATAAACAAGCATTTAGACATTAAGACGCAGAATTAAAACATCCTAGTATAAACATTAAAATCTCATAGTCCAAAACCATAATCCGTAGCCATTCCAACTGTCAATTGCACATATTCCCTATTGATTTCTTGCACTGCATTACTTTACTGAACAAAGCCTTGGTCCCACAGCCATATCTTTGCTTTCTTCCTGAAGGCCAAGAGGAGGGCGCTGATCTAATTTCACTTGGGTGGGAGTTCCAAAGCCGAGGGGCCAGCACTGAGAAGGCCCTGTCTCTCACCCACACCAAGGAAGTTGAACCAAGTTGAACAAAGGAAGTTGAACCAAGAGCGAGGCCTCCCCAAAAGATCTTAGCCTCTGTGATAAGGAGATGTGTTTAGACTGGGCTAAACTGGGCTGGAACTGTTTAGGGCTTTATAGGCTAAAGCCAGCACATTGAATTGTGCAGACTGGCAGCCAGTGGAGCTGGCGTAACGGAGGGTTGTATGTTCCCTGTAAGGAATCTGGCTGCTGCCCATTGGAACACTTGAAGCTGCTGAACGGTCTTCATGTAGAGCATGTTGCGGTAGTCTAATCGGGATGTAACAAGAGCTTGGACCACGTGTAGCCAAGTCTTGCTTCCCAAGTCTAGGTACTGTTAAGACTTTTATAATATGCCCAATTTGTTGATTGAGTTGCAGTAAATGCACAAAAATGGATAAGTTTCTAATTAAGAAAAGAAAATACGTTGATTATGATATTTCTAATGAACCACATGCAGTGGCTATAGAGGAAGCGGCACAAGAATCAACTGTGGTACATAAGTAGTGTGAAGAAAAAATCCAAACCTTATTTATATAGTAAAGATTACATGAAAGATATATATATATATATATATATATACACACACACACACACACACACACACACACACACATATATAATACAATATATATATATATATAGAGAGAGAGAGAGAGAGAGAGAGAAACTGTTATAAGGAGTTTGCCAGTAAAAGTGAATTATTGCGTCCTGTTGGGAGGGACAAAAGCAATCCTTGGCAGGGAAAGCTAAAGAGTCTGTACAACTCCCAACTGCAAGGATCCCAAAGTGTTGAGCCATGGCAGTTAAGAGTGGCCTCAAACTGCATTAATTTTGCAATGTAGGTGAACCCCTGGTCTCCAAGAGCTCAAGACCAAGACAAGACAGGCAGGCACATCTGCAGCCTTTGGCAGAAGGAAAAGCGAGCCTCGACACTTGCAAAAGCCCTTCCCGCTCTTTTCCTTCTCCAGCCACGCGCCTGCCTGATTGACAGCTCTCCCCTCCTCGCACAAAAACAGAAACAACAACCCAACGTTGCCCTTGGACAGGCGTTACATGCTAATCCTCCCGAAGCTGGAACATTTCGTGCCGAGGAAGGAATCCCGCCCGTTTCAAAGGCGACTTTCTGTGGCCAAAGAGACAGACACAGAGAAGAAGGACTCTGGGCCAAAAGTCCGAGGCGCCCCGCCCAGGCGCTTCAGCCAAAACTGAGGGAAAGTTGGACCCAAAAGACATCCTAGATTGGAAGAGAAGGCATAGGCCATCTAGTCCAGACATGGGCCAACTTGGGCCCTCCCCTCCAGGTGTTTGGACTCCAACGCCCACCATTCCTGACAGCCTCAGGCCCTTTCCTTTTTCCCCTCAGCCGCTTAAGCGGGAAAAGGAAGGGGCCTGAGGCTGTCAGGAATGGTGGGCGTTGGAGTCCAAACACCTGGAGGGAGGGCCCAAGTTGGCCCAGGCCTGTGTTAACATATCTGGTAATCCCTCTCTGCTTTGGTCAATTCATTCACTCAGGATGGTTCCCCTCGAGTTCAGGCGCCCTCCCTCCTTCTCTCAATACAAAACAATGCAAAACAAGCCTCCAGTGGGGAAAAGCAGCTCCTCAGAGGAAGACAAGGAACGCGGGGAAGGGGGCTTTGGAAAGCCCAGCCTGGCAAAGACGCCTTCACATCACAGGCAGACCTGCGCAGATGGCAATGCAACATCTGCCTTGAGAAGCCTACGAGGGTTCAGGAGCCAGGAGACCAAAGCGCCCAAGGAACCGAGAGAAAGAAGGAGGGAGGTCTGCCAACTCAATGGGGCTCTCGCTCCGGAGTGTCTCCTAAAAACACGGCGTCGGGTGGGGTTTGAGGGCCCTTCCACACAGCCCCATATCCCAGAATATCAAGGCAGAAAATCTCCAGAGAGTGGACTGAAATAGCACAGTTCAAAGCAGAGATTGTAGGATTTTCTGCCTTGATATTCTGGGATACAGGGCTGTGTGGAAGGGCCCAGAGGGATGCGGGGAGCAGCTCCACTCCAGGTCTCTCCTGGGGTGCATCCGCACTTGGAGAACTGATGCGGTTTGGTCTCACTTTTACAGCCAATGGGCGCAATGCGATGGAATCATCGGAGCGATCGTTTGGCAGAGGAGGCTGAAGACATTGCAAAACTATAACTTCAGGTCCATCCACACAGCCCTATAACCCAGAATACCAAGGCAGAAAATCCCACAATATCAGCTTTCAACGTGGTTATCCGAGGGCCCTTCCGCACAGCCCAATAACCCAGAATATCAAGGCAGAAAATCCCACAATATCTACTTTGAACTGGGTTATTTGAGCCACACTGCCATATATCTCAGTTCAAAGCAGATCATATGGGATTTTCTGCCTTGATATTCTGAGATATAGGGCTGTGTGGAAGGGCCCTGAGTCCACACTGCCATATCTAGCAGTTCAAAGCAGACAATATGGGATTTTACTCAGCTGTGTGGAAGGGGCCTCTCACGGCTCCATAGCCTCCAGCGGCGGCAGCCAAAGCGGTGTCAAACCGTATTAACCCGACAGTGTAGATGCACCGCCTCTCGCGCGACGCCGGCCGCCGGATCCACCTCGAGACTGGGTGGCTGAGGGCAGATCCGCACTTTGAGAACTAATGCAGTTTGACTCATTAACTGTCATGGCTCAGTAACAACAACAACACTATATTTATATCCCGCCCTATCTCCCCAAGGGGACTCAGGGCGGATCACAGTACACATACCCGGCAAACACTCAATGCCATTAGGACAGAAACAGACAGAAAGGAGGCATGTTGTGCCAACGCTGTGGAAGCATGTGAGCTGTAGTTTGACAAGGTCTTAGCCTTCTCTTGGTGCCTCTCCAAACTACAACTTCCAGGACCCCATAGCATTAAGCCGCAGCAGTGAAAGCGGGACCAAAGCGCATTCGTGGTCTTGTGTGGGTGGGTGCGCCCTCCACCGAGGAGGGCGTGCGCGTTCTCCGCACGAAAAGGGATCGGGTCTTTCCTTCCAAGTCCATTTCCCAGGTCCACGCGCGGCCCCTTCAACTTGTGGGTCTTCCCAAGCTCCCCCCCCCCTCCTCCTCCCTCTTTCCTTCCTCCATCCCTCTTTTCTTTTTCTCGGCCCCAGCAGCGAAGAAACTTGCTCGGGCTCTCTTTGCCAGGCACCACCAGTTGCACGCTTCTTCCCAGCCTATTCCGCTGCCAAGCGCACCTCCCTCCAAGAAATCAAATGCCTCCCCGCACAAGACAATCCGGGAGTGGGGATGGCACTCCGGAGAGGGGCAAGGCGAGAGGAACGCAGCCGGGTACCTGAGGCGCAACCGGGCTCCCGAGGACCCTCCGCTCGCCGCTGCTCCGCCGCTCTCCGCAACCCGAACGCGCCCGCTCGCCCAGCTGCCACTCAAGCCAGCGCGCACGAGAATCGCGAAGCGCTCGCCGGACGCCACCCTCTTGAGCAAATCGAGGCGCCGTAGCGCTCGGGACGTACCACTTCGCCGTCTCTGGGGAGGGTTGGAATTTCAAAACAAAACCGTCACGGCGTGGAGTTAAGACGAGGAATGCTTCTCTCTTTAGACACTTTTTGCGATTGTCCTTAAACGCTCTGTGGGGCCCCGGAAGGAACTGGGAGTGAGGAAACACTCCTCACGCCCCTTTCTGTTATAGTGGTAGCGCCGAGAGGAGCGAGGAGGCGGAAAGGGGGCGTGGCCACAGCGGCGGCGGCATTGTTCGGAAGCCTTCTACACGGAGGAGAGGGCTTTGTTGCTAGTAGAGGCCAGAGCACGGTGGTTTACCCTGCTTTCCCACCGTGTTTCTCTTCCAGAGGCACCCGGGTAAGAGAAAAGGGGAGACGGTTACTCCTGGGAGTTCCTCCCAAAGGAATACGAGGACGTCTGAAGCTGTTCCCTCAGGTTCAAGTTGAAAATTAGAAAAGGGCTCCTGTGCCTTTAAATGCAGTGCTTCCCACACTTTGGTCTCCCGGGTGTTTGGGACTACAATCGCTCAGTATATATATTATTAGCATAGTAGAATCATAGAATCAAAAAGTTGGAAGAGGCCTCATGGGCCATCCAGTCTAACCCCCTGCCAAGAAGCAGGAATATTGCATTCAAATCATCCCTGACAAATGGCCATCCAGCCTCTGTTTAAAAGCTTCCAAAGAAGGAGCCTCCACCACACTCCGGGGCAGAGAGTTCCACTGCTGAACGGCTCTCACAGTCAGGAAGTTCTTCCTCGTGTTCAGATGGAATCTCCTTTCTTGTAGTTTGAAGCCATTGTTCCTTGTCCTAATCTCCATGGAAGCAGTAAACAAGCTTGCTCCCTCCTCCCTGTGGCTTCCTCTCACATATTTATAAATGGCCCTCATCATGTCTCCTCTCAGTCTTCTCTTCTTCAGGCTAAACATGCTCAGCTCCTTAAACCGCTCCTCATGGGGCTTGTTCTCCAGACCCTTGATCATTTTAGTCGCCCTCCTCTGGACACATTCCAGCTTGTCAATATCTCTCTTGAATTGTGGGGCCCAGAATTGGACACAATATTCCAGGTGTGGTCTAACCAAAGCAGAATAGAGGGGTAGCATTACTTCCCTAGATCTAGACACTATGCTCCTATTGATGCAGGCCAAAATCCCATTGGCTTTTTTTGCCGCCACATCACATTGTTGGCTCATGTTTAACTTGTTGTCCAAGAGGACTCCAAGATCTTTTTCACACGTACTGCTCTCGAGCCAGGCATTGTCCCCCATTCTGTATCTTTGCATTTCATTTTTTCTGCCTAAGTGGAGAATCTTGCATTTGTCACTGTTGAACTTCATATTTAGTACAATATCAGTATTAAATATTACTATATTGTATTATACCATTATATTGTAATATTATTAGTAATATTACATGTAATATCATTCTTATTAGTATTATATTGCATTACATTATAATATTATAAATATATGTATATACAATATATTATATTGCTTAGTACAGGAGACAAGGTGGAACTGTCCCCTGGCCCCCTCTCTCTTCACTCTCAACCAGAGTGGCAGTTGGTGCTGGGGGAAGGGGTCCCCAACCGATGACGTATGTAGGAGACAAGATGGAACTTAGGGACTAAGTAAAATCCACCCAATTTGGAGGAAATGCAGCATATGGGTGTATGCATATAGCATATAGGTAGGCAGGATTAGTTTCTGACCTATAGGCTTTCTTAAGCAAGAAAACCTATAAGCCTGAGATGCTGAGTGGTGGTTTTGCCAGTCACTTCCTTCCTCGAAAAGAGTTATGGGCAAACTTTGGCCCTCCATGTGTTTTGGACTTCAACTTTCACAATTTGGAATTGTGGGAGTTGAAGTCCAAAAGACCTGGAGGGCCAAAGTTTGCCCATGCCTGCTCTAATACACACACACACACATATATTAGGAAATGGCATTCATAACCTTTTCGAAAAACACCATTTGGAGATCAAAACTTTTAAGAAAAGCTTGACCTTTCAGGGAAGAGTCAAAAATCCTTTAGAGTAGAATCTTCTCTTGTGTGGTATATAACCTGATATAATGATGCAAGGCAATGGTTTCAGTTGTTAGACTGAATAACCTGTCAATTTATTTATTTGCTACATTTATATCCTGCCCTTCTCACCCCAAAAGGGGGACTCGGAGCAACCTTACAAAAAGGCAGCAATTTGATGCCATATACAGTAAGAAAATAAACATATGCACTTAAACTAAAAATCAGCAGAAGTATTGAAACAATTAATTAAAATCACATCATCCAGAGTCAAATCCAAGGCCATTCCGTTAGTCATTTCACAATTCCATGTACTTATATTATCTGATCTGTTAGGAAAATAGAGATTTTGCCAGTGTATAAAACAGCAGAGCTTTTTAGAAGTGTTTTTCAATGCCCAAAATATATATACTCTCCCATAAATCAACTTGTTTTATATCATGCACTCAAGAGGCAAAAATGAAGTAGACTTGGATAAAAATAACATATTTGGCTTACTCACAACCTTCATGTGTTTAACATACACAGGTACAAAATTTACTAGTCCGGTTTCAGATATGTTTGAGATAATTTTCTGTGCCATCTGACCAGGGCATCTTTCATATGACAAAGCAGCTATCAACAGGTCACATAGTCAAAAGGAGAGAGAGAGAGTCCATAGAGTAAAGGAAGCTGCATACCAGAACATGCATATACACAGTGAGCAACAGGATCATAGATAAACTTATTAGAGAAGACTTGAAGAAGGTTGTCATTTCCAACATTATTAATTTTATTTAAACTCCACCGTTCTCCCCGTGGGGAGTCTGCTAACAGCACCTGGTAGTTGTCTTCCATCCAAGTACTGGTTTAGTTTCTGAGATCAGTCCAGAACTTGGTATATTCTTGGTAAGAGTTATTCAGAGGATATTTGCCATTGTTTTCTTCTTTAGCAAAATAATATAACTTGTCCAAAGTTGCATAGCAGGGTTCCATGGCTAAACAAGAGATGCATATCCAACCCATTACAACACATAGAATGAAATGTAGCTTACATTCATTGGCGGTCTCCCATCCATGTATTAGTCATATTCAATTCTATTTATATTTTGTAGGTTTAACATTTTTATAGTTTTTTTAAATATTGTCAGTCACTTTTTAGGTCTTGGTTCTCAAGATTGAAAGCAGGGTATAAATAACTGTAATAGGAACAGCGACAACAACAACTGACCCTACTATTAAAAGTTCGAAGTATCTCCAGATTTCACTCTGGCAACCCCACTCCTCCATTTCTATCACACCACAGTTCTTGCTCCTCACCTTGAAGCAACAGGCACACTATTTCATTTGCTGCCCTGCTTGGTGGTTCTGATGGGAATCGTTGCCATTTTCTCATATGCACACACATAGCATCTCCCAAATATTAGATAATTGGCTTGACTATATTTATCCCTCATGATTTTTGAAAAGCAAGAGTTTTGTGACATCTCAAAGATCAACAGATTCACCATAATCTAAAGTTGGAGGTGTTAATTATAATTATAAATAACTCGGGCCAGATTTCTAATTAGCAGTAAATGTTAATCTGCGAGATGCCATAAAATGCTCATGTATGTTTTCAATAACAGCCAAATACTGCTAAAAGTTAGAGTTTTTGTGAGACAAACACACAAGTTGGCATGTATAGAACACTAGTTTGAGTTGTCCTATTTCATTTTCATAGTAGCCCTATGAAGTTGCTGTCATGCCAGGAGACGTTTAATTTTCCTGATGGGCACACACTGCACTCCATGGCTGAGTAGGAACTTTAGATTGGGTTTCTTTCAACGTGCAGCTTCAGCACTCTTGCTGCTACACCATAGTTGCCTAATCATGCATGAAGTTTAGGTCAAGCTAAGGGGCTATATATACCATATCCAGAAAATCAGTTTGACATGCTTTGTTCACCTTGTTGGAGATGAAGTACTTGTAAAGAGTGCTAGAAGCCTCTTGGTTTTAGTAGTATTTACCTGTTTAAAAGTGTGCACATGCACATATGCACAAATATGCTTGATGTGATTGAGTATTATTTTCCATCCAACTTTCATTGAAATATGAATTCTTCTACAAGCAAGATTTATCATCAATATTTTGAACAAAGAATAACAGTTTTTCATGAAAAACTGTAATCACGCCTGTAACAAGTTCTGGTTTTCTTTCAAGAAAAATCAGAATTTTGGGAATTAGTAGCTGCAAATCATACTTTGAAGTCTTAAATTATTTTATTTATTATGAGACTTCATCTCATTTGCAAGCAACAGCCTGGCGGCACCTTGGAAACAAACAAATTTGTAATGGAATTAACTTTCATGAATGTAAATTACAATATCAGGTGCATGAAGTATTATTCAGAATTTTATGTATATCTACAATACATATGGTTGATTAACTGTTAGAAGAATGTACTGACCATGACAAGTAATTTTTTTGCAACAGCTGTGCACTAAATAGTTGATGACTGATCTCTGCAAAGACCAATAAAAAGGTATACTCAAATGCAATATGGGTTTATTCCTACTAATGGATGTCAGCCTTCATGTGAATGGAAACCTATTCCAAGTGTGCATTGGATTTCAGTCTTGTGAATAAGTGATTAAACACATATACTCAGAAGTAATCCCCACTGCACCTAGTAATCATCCTTTGAGGCACCATCTACACTGCCATATAAAATCCAGATTATCTGTCTTGAACTGGATTATATTGCAGTGTAGACTCATATAATCCAGTTCAAAGCAGACTGTGGATTATCTGCTTTGATAAGGTACAAAACAAGGGCACTATTCACCCAGAGTGAATCTCTTTTACATCAAATTGCCTTCAGTAACAAAATGAAGGACACACTTAAATATTTTTCTGTGAAATGAAAAAGACAGAAATGCTTCCTTTTGCCAGAATTCTATATGATATTTAAATTTTATGTTTGTAATGGTTTCTTAGGTGTAAAATGATTATTCCTGTGAGATGCTTCACTTGTGGCAAAATCGTTGGAAACAAATGGGAAGCATATCTTGGCCTTCTGCAAGCAGAATATACAGAAGGGTAGGAAACTTTCCTTTTATATATCTGATTTCCACAGTTGTCTTAAGAATCCATTAACATTTTGCTACATGGAAAACCAATGTTCATTTCTGAAATGCTTTTATTCTGCATTGGTTTCTTGTTTGTTTTTTAAAATTTAATTTAATTTTAGAGCCACATTTTAAGTATTGTTTTAGTTTTAATCCCATCTTTTGGCACCAGTGTTAATGCAAAGCAGCTTAGAAAATTATTTAAACTACAAAGCAATCAACACCATGCACAAAAAAAGTCTAAGAAATGTATCTGATACCCACTCCCAAATCACCATTAGATTAAAACATTGAGTATATTCAGTATTTTCCATCCAAAAACAAGAGACATTGCTACTGGGAAGTCTTCATTACCATTAGAGTCTTTTCTAGAACATTAGTTTCCAACACTGGGTTCCCAGATGTCATTGGATTTATAGTCCAAGAAGCCCCAGGCAGCATACTTAAGAATTCTAGTCGTTGTAATCCAACAGTATCAGGAAATCCAATACTTATGTAGCATTTGCACTGTAACAGTGTCTGGTTTGCCTTGTTCTACATATAGCTTATATAGGAGAAAGTATTCTTTTCCTCTGCAGCAGTTTTATATAGTGACTTTAAATAAATGTTGATAAAGGAAACTAAGAAGAAAATGGAGTGCGGACTCCATTGAAATAATGAATTGTACAACTTTCATTCATTTTCATCTACTATTCAGTTGCTAGTTCTTGGGAGGACAAAGAATATTTTTAATTTCATTTTCCCATTTCTGAACTTCAAGTGCTTTCTCATAAATGAGACATACAGACAAAAATGAAACGTGAAAGTCAAGCAAGGTTAGAGCTCTGTAACAACAGTTTTTCAGCATTTGTATTCAAGCATATTGTCTGTTGCTGTGGGCCATAAAAAACGCTACAGTGAAATATAAATAAGGTTATCTGTCTTCTGTATTTCAGTGTAATATTCCCACAAACACAACAATATTTATCTGTTATCAGCAGTATAATCCTGTACCTTTCTACTCAGTTTAAACCCAGGGCTTGTTTACACCAGCAAAAAACCCTAACTATAATTCAGATTATTGGGCCTCAGATTCACCCTGTTAGCACCACACCTCCCTGTAATTGTGTTTCTGTCTACATCTCAGATTCGAACAGTTTGCTCACAAGTAGACAACTGACTTGTGTGTACGCAAGTATCTCTTTACTCCTCTTTAGACCAGTTCCCATTTCACCCACTGCTGTCACCACACTCTCCCTGTCAGGTGAGTCCTTTTGCTCATGCACCTGTTTCTGGCTCTAGCAGTGGTGGAGTGCTCCTCTCCTCCAGCTCCCTGGTAATTGCATGGCTTGTAGGGCTGCTTTGGAGCTGCTGTTGCCACTGCTGCTGTGGGATACAGCCACCACCGGTGTTGGGCCCAGTGTGACAATCCTGTCACTCAGGAGCCAGAGGAGAATAGTGTGTTGCCACCAACTCCGAAGAAGGAGCCAGAATAGGAGCCTGAGCATGGGGTATCAGCTAGTGAGGGAGAGAAGGATGGCAGCGGCTGCAATGATAGCAGCAGGTGAAATGGGAGCCCGTCTAGATAAAGGAGGGAAGAAAAGTAGTCTTCCATTCTCTTAATCATGAGTTTTACTTGTATGGTATACCCAACATTCTGAGTCCATTTTGTCATACAATCTTTAACCTGTTTGTCTTCTATCAGTTTTTATCAAAAGCCTATACATCTTACCAATAAAATCTTCATCCACACATAATTGCATCTCAAATTTAAATTTACAGTTTTCAAAAGCATATATTTCATCCATTTAATAACTTTCAAACATTTGCCTCTTATAGTAACATTGAGAACTATGACTTTCTGATAGTCGTTCTTCATTTGATTTAATTCTATATTGTTCTTGATCAAATTTCAAAGATCTTATTAAGAAGTAGACTTGTGCATGGATTCGAGGTGGTTGGTTCTCTTCGACCAATCCATCTTGGCCGGATGGCCATTGTTGTGTACTCCTCTTCTGAGGAGGAGGTAAAACAGGAGGCTGAAAATGTTTGAGTTGGAGATTTGGGGCCAAGTATTGAGGAGGAGGAAGGGGGTGAAGAAAACATACTGCCAGTTCCCACCTTTCAGGAAAGCCAAAGGGCCAAAGAAGAAAGGAGAAATTCAGCTAGAATTGCTGAAAGGATTCTGAGCAAACAGACCTGTGCTGGCAGCTGAGAGCTATAAATCAGCAGTAAAGCAAGGGGTCAATGCTGGTAGCAACTATTCTACCCAGTGGTTCTGTGCTCCAATTTCCTTACATGCAATTCCAGCAAATGCCTCACAAAGACTATTTGCCAAAGACTTTGGTTCATGTCTGATGTAAGACTTTTGCTTTGCTTTTGGGATTTTTCTTCTGTTCCTTGCTGCTGTTTGTTAGAGTATTACCATTTTGCTGAAGTAAAGCTTTTTTAATTGCTTTAACCAATGTTATAAGGCTGTTTCTGGGGCAAAACAGGATTGCCATAACATTAAGGGTCCAGCCATCACATTTTTCCATCCATAACAGGATCCCATGACAGCTGATCACAGCTCTTCCTCCCCTATTTGCATTGGGGAGGTGCACGAAAAAGCTGCCGTGTGCTGCTCCGTGAGCTTTGCCTATGAGCCCTGCCTATTGGGCCAATTGGAATAGAAGAATGCCATGACGTATCTTGCACAAGCTGTGGGCCCTTCCACACAGCCCAATATCCCAGAATATCTGCTTTGAACTGGGTTATCTGAGTCCACAGTCAGATAATGTGGGATTTTCTGCCTTGATATTCTGAGATATAGGGCTGTGTGGAAGGACCCCATGTAATTCCCAGGAAGGATGCTTCCTTAACACCGTTGCTGAAACCCAGACTCCCTTGAAGGCAAGAAAGGAAAAGGTCCGAGGAAGGGTGCTTCCTTAACCTCCTTCTTCAAACCCAGACTCTCTTGAAGGCAAGAAATGAAAGAGTTCCAGAAAGGATGTTTTCTTAACCCCATTGCTAAAACCCAGGGCCCTTTCACACCGCCATATAACCCAAAATATCAAGGCAAAAAACCCACAATATCTGCTTGGAACTGTTATCTGATTCCATACTGTTGTATAAACCATTTCAAAGCAGAAAATGTGGGATTTATTAATCTGTGTGGAAAGGGTCCCAGACTCTCTTGAAGGCAAGAAAGGTAAGGGTTCCAGAAAGGGTGCTTCCTTAAACCCCCATTGATCATACCCAGACTCCTTTGAAAGGAAGAAAAGAAAGGATCCCAGGGGAAGCCTTCTAAGTTTCCCATTGCCGCCAATTGGCTGGATCTTTCAGCTGCCTAGCCGAAAACAGATATTTCTATTAATCGATTTTTGGGAGGCTCCCAAAAATAGACCTGGGTGCCCAACGAAATTTGGATACCAAAAACAAATCCCCCTCCAGCCAAATTGCACAAGCCTATTACGCCCACTTCTCTTCTGGTGTTGTGTTGAGGCCCCTAGAGGACTTTTAGAGCATTGTATCTCTATTCCACATTCTTAGTGAGGCATGTCTCGCAAAATGACCATTAAAATCTACATTTGCTTTACCCTTTTTGCACCACAAGTATCCATGCCACCCAAATCTCAGGCCATGATCTGATACTTTCTTGTCAGTCAACACAATCCTGTCTTTTGCAACAAACCGAACAGCATGCAGAAAAGTTCTGTGTCATACTTGATATCCCCCAACCCCATTTTTGTTTTGTATCTTATAAAACCTTATACTTGGCACTTGGTTTTGTATCTTGCTGTTTGAATTTTCTGCCATTGTTTACATTGCTTATCATTAGTTAAAATCAGGATTGTCTGAAGTAAAAATAGCATCTTAACAAAACATTTGGTTTTTATCATTAAGATTCTTTTCTCATTTTGATTACCACCATCATCTTTTGTGTGTTTATTGGAAATCCTGGCAACTTTCCAAATTCTGTAATGTCTGCAGCAAAGTTTTATACTCTCAAAAAGATTTTCAAGCCCAATCACTAGATCATCCAAAAATGATTTGGTGATTGGGTCAGAAAACCCTTTGGAGAATATAAACATTTACCATATTCCTTTATTAATTTTTAAACATTTGGTCGGTTTTTGGGCTTTTCACTAATATCAGGTGTTTAAAACATCTTAAATTAAATCTACATTTTCAGAACATTGCAAATGGGCCATAATGAGGTATAAAAGTTTCTGATTTATTTGAAGAATATTTTCTCTACTACTCAGCCAAAAAGTCTCCCAGGCAATATAAATCATAAGCCATCCCCTGAGGATCTGTCTAAAAAACATGATGCAAAGTGGGGAAAAGGGATAACGAGGGAGAACAAAATAAGCAAACTAAGCTTCAGCTGTTTGATCAGTTGTAATGGGAACCATTTTGAGAGAGGAAGAATTTGACCCCTTGGCAAATTCAGCTAGTTTTTGCACATTAATGTTCCTATTGTTTCTAGTACAATTTATTACTTATTTTATATGTTATTGTTGTTGCTATTTATTTACAATTTATACATTATATAAATTAGGATTTGTACGATATTAAATCAAATAAAATAAAATAAATTATACATTTAATATGAATATATACTGTTTGTGTATATTTCATTTATAGTGCTTGGTAATTGGCCTTTCACAGCACTATTTTTGTGACAATTAAATGGCAGAAAAGGCTAGAAATGTGCTTCTTTCTTGACTGGCTAGACCGGTGGTGGTGAACCTATGACGTGTGTTAGAAGGGGCCCACAGCACCCTCTCCCTTGGCACGCAAGCTGTTTCCCTCATTCACCCACTCACTCACCTGCTTGCCTGCCCCATTGCTTGCCCGCCACTCACTCGCCACTGCCCCAAGTGCCCAACCCGCCTCACCTCCCCCCCTCCCTCCCGGGTTGGGCACGCCCTAAAAGGTTTACCACCACTGGTCTAGACTCTGAGGATAGTGTTCATTCCAGTCTGTTACTGTATCACCCTTTTCCCCAGACTGTGTATTAGATATTTAATAACCATTGATTTTTTGCTGCAGAAACAGAATTGGGACACATGAATCTAAATTTAGCAATTAAGTAGAATTTTAGTATAATTTGCATGATAAATGCACCTGCATGATGCATGCCTTGGGCATAAATCTGATCCTAGTTTATTGCATGATTTTTTTACATTAACCAAGTGGGCAAACAAATGCATATTTGAGTTCTTCTTAACAACAAAACTGTGTATTTTAGCTACTGCTTAAATTATGACAATTATCAAGGCAGATCCATATGATAGGTATTGTTACAATCATTTATTCCAGCACAAAATATGGCAGGTAGGCTGCTTGCTACTGCATACAGTTTCAGAAGTATTTGAAATTGTTGCTTTTTACATTGAGTTTTGTGAAACTACCAAATTGTTGCTTTTTACATTGAGTTTTGTGAAACTACCATTTGGAGGAGGAAGGGGAGAAACTATACAGCAATACCTTCAGTTTTGCTTAATAACCTCCTTGAGCTAAATATGTGCCTCCTATGGGTTTTTTTAAAAACAGGATCATGAAGATCAGTGCATGATAATTTTATTTTAAAACTTGTTCCATTGTTAAATTTTTGTTTGCAATTTTTGTGGAGGTGAATAGTGCAGTGCTATGTCGATTCAGCAGTAAGTTCCTTGTGTTTCTGTGGAACTTTCTCATAGATGAGTATGCAAGGTAACTGTATGAAATATTTGATCACAACACTTCGAAAATTAATTTTAAAATGAGCAGCATTTTCAAACCTTTAACAGACTGGTTTTTTTAATCATTTGAATAACGAGTGATCATACAGTGTAGTGAGGAAAGGATCCTGTTGGGGAACTGAGTTCTTATGTGGGTGGACTCTAAGGTCAAGAGATGCTATCTTACATTCATCCTTTGCCTATTTGATCCGCAAGAGACATACATCTCAAGTAGAATGCTAATTCCTCTAACCTGTAATGAAAATTGAAACTTAATTCTCAGATCTACTATCTTGGCAGAAATTATGAGCAGAATTCTTAGATATGAGATGTATTCTTTTCTTACATATCAAAATGGGCTTTAATAAATGTTCAAAACTATAGATTTCTTTTTAAATGTCATCAGCTCAAGTAGGCCAGCAACCTAACCATATAAATTCCAGCTAATTAATCCCAGTTGAAATCCAAGAGACAGAAATGAATGGAGTTCTGACCTAAAAGGCCAGGGCCAAAACCTGAGAACCTGCTTCTGTCAGGTATTGGTTGAATAACAAGGACATGGAAATGACAGTGTCCAGATGAGAGAATCTCTCCAAAATCAGTAACATGCTGTTCTTCAGTAATTCTACTGCATGCTATAGAGCAGGTATGAGGAAAGTGCAATCCTCAGATATTTATTTATTTATTTATTATTCGAACTTATATGCCGCCACTCCCCTGAGGCTCGGAGCAGCTTACAAGAATGGCTAAAATCTAACACAATTTAAAAACAATTTAAAACAATTTAAAAACAGTAATATCAAAAATCAAAGGCCTGTCGAAACAAGTATGTCTTACAAGCCCTGCGGAAAGCTGATAAGTCCCGCAAGGCACGGACTTCAGGTGGCAGAGTATTCCAGAGTGATGGTGCCACTGCTGTAAAGGCTCTGTGTCTGGTTGCTGTTAGACGCAAGGTCTTGACACTGGGAATTTCCAATAGATCTTGGTCCTCAGAATGGAGGGATCTCTGGGGTTGGTAGGGGGTGAGGCGGTCCCTTAGGTACATCGGCCCCAGACCATGCAAGGCCTTAAAGGTGAGTACCATCACTTTGAAAGTGATCCGGTGCTCAACTGTTTCCAACCAATGGGAGACAGTTTGGGCATATTCCTTTTTTTGAAAGAGGAAATGCTTTTTTTCAACTTCTTATTGACAGAATTCCATTCCTCAGGCTACAATGACAAAAATATGGATGGCCACCAATTCTCCTTAGAAGGAGAAAATATTTTTAAAATTGCTTAGGATATAGTCCTCCAAGATCTTTGTGAAGCCAATACAGCATCCTTTGTTGTTGCTATTTACTACCAAGTAAAATTTATCTTATGGTGGCACTATGAATGAGAGACCCCTAAGATCAGCTGCCCTGCTCAGAACATGCAGACTCGGAGCCATAGCTTTCTTAATTAAATAAATTCACATGTAACCCATTCTCCCCTTTTCCCACTGCTTTCCACATTACACATTCATCATCTTCTCAATTGAGTCATGTCATTGCATGATATGTCCAAAGTATGAGAGCCTGAGTTTAGATGAGAGCTCAGACCTGATTTCTTTTAACATCCACGAATTTGTCTTTTTAGCAATTCATATCTGTAGAACTTCTCCAACACCACATTTCAGATAAGTTTATTTTCACCATGTCAGGTTTCTTCACTGTCCATGTTGCACGGCCACATATAGAAATTGGAAATATTATAGCATAGATGATTCTGGGTTTTGTGTCTTTCAATATATCTTTAGCTTTTATATTGTAAAAGCTTTGCTTCCAAATCTTGGCATCACTTTGCTTGGGGGAATAATGAAATAGTTTATTACATACTACTATGCTTGGTCTTATTTCAACTCTGTGGGCTATTGTTTTGTTATCCATATTAGATGGCAGCCTCCTAGCTCACATTAATGCCCACCTTTGCACTGGAGTGACCAAGAAACAGACTGCAATGTGGCACCAGGCATGTAAGAGCAAGCTACAGGAGTAAGAATTGATTATCATTCCAGCTGTGTCTGGTTTAACCCCTTGAGAAATGCATTCATGAATGTATCTGTACTATAGGGACAAAGCAATAGGGAGGTAATTTTCCCCCAACTATCTTGGGGGGAAATGATCTCCCTTTTACATACATGCTATCAAGTCAGGAGCTATCAACAGGTCACATAGTCAAAAGGAGAAAGAAAGAGCATGTGGTCTGCAGCCCCTTTTAAAACTTCTCAGAAACCATAGAGTAAAGGAAACTGCACACCAGAACACACATACAGCAAACATTAAGCAACAAGATCATAGACAAACAGGTTGCTAGGGAAGGCTTGATGAAAGTTGTCATTTCCAACAATAAAAGCCTCTCTGCATGCATGCATTAACCCTAAATGAAACACTTTTGTCACTGGTACATATACTAACACCACAAACTGTTGTCATTATTTCTTTTGAAATAATTTTTTATGGATGTGTTTGTCAGAGAAGTATATCCTTTCTTTTACTTCTAAATTCCTCATACTCTTGGTTGGCCCCTCTTCCTTTTCCCTTCCATTTTCCCAAGCATCATTGTCTTCTCTAAGCTTTCCTGACTTCTCATTATATTGCCAAAGTATCTTTGCCTTTAATATCCTTCCCTCCAATGAACAGTTGGGCTTTATTTCCTGAATTATGGATGGGTTGGATCCTCTCACAGTCCAAGGCACTCTCAGAATGTTCTTCCAACACCACCGTTCCTTCCTTCGCTCAGCCTTTCTTATGGTCCAGCTCTCACATCCATAGGTTTCTACAGGGAATACCATTGCTTTGACTATGCAGATCTTTGTTGCCAATGAGATGTCTCTACTCTTCACTATTTTATTGAGATTGATCATTGCTCTCCTCCCAAGAAGTAAACGTCTTCTGATTTCCTGGCTGCAGTCTGCGCCTGCAGTGATCTTCACACCTAGAAATACAAAGTCTGTCACTGCCTCCACGTTTTCTCCCTCTATTTCCCAGTTATTGATCAGTCCGATTGCCATAATCATGGTTTTTTTTATGTTTAACTGCAACGCAGCTATTGTACATATTTATTGCTAATTCTTCCTGACCTTTTGAACTTGGTATTTGTTCTCTTAGTTCTACTAAAACCACCCTCGTTTAAAATGTCTAATTATTTCTTTGTATTATAGATCAACATCTTTATTCTATGTTTTAGAGGTTTGTTTTTATAAACATCCATCCTAATTCTCTTTTTAGCCTTATTTTCTGGTGTTCTGTTCTTGATTTGTATATCAGTTGCATATTCCTGTTCCATTTTCGGATTCCTTTGGTCTCTTCTCTATTTTTAGACTGCAATCTGCTTTGGGTCATGGATGTGTTTGTTTTATCCTCTTCTCGGGCTATAAAATGAGATTTTATCTATTTATCTGAAATACTGAGTTTGGAAAGAGGTTATAAAGTAGGCATGAAACAGAGCAATAGAGTTTTCAAGGACTTGGGAGATCATTTAGTCCAACCCTCTCATACATACATACATCTCATACTCATACATGACTCCCCCTTTGGGGGGAGAAGGACAGGGTATAAATATAGGAAATAAATACCTAAAAATACATAATTGGGTATACATATGGGAACTTCTTTTAGCCATAAATTTAATTTCAGAAAAATATTGGACACTGCATGGATGGAGCCAAAGAGAAAAAGATTGGTCCAAGCACGCCAGTATACTTTAATGTAAAGCTTTTGTTGAAATCTTACGAGAAGAATTTCAGCTGGAAAACTACTAAATGGTAGGTCATGAGGAAAATGTATAAACTTTAGAGAAATCATAGAGCTGAATTTGACCCCAGTGTTTTTCTAGATCTGATCTATATGATATCTATTGAAAACTATATAATATTCATTTTAAGGTCTTCAGTTAAGAAGATCCCTTGTCTGTTCTCATGACATATTCCGGTTTGAGGAGAGTGGTATGGGGAACCCTAGGCACCTTCACTGAATAGTCCATACTGAGCTCTCTTTCATCCGTTCCACTTCCATGTTTTTTCTTCCTACTGTATGAGCAGGACCTTGAATTTTGTCCTTGTGCATGGATAAGATCTGGTTTAGTGTGCTGCTGTTCTTTTAAAACTGTCCTTCTGTTTGTTTTTAGTGATGCTTTGGATGCTTTGGGTCTGAAGAGATATTGCTGCCGGCGAATGCTGCTTGCCCACGTTGATCTGATTGAGAAACTCCTGAATTATGCCCCTCTGGAGAAATAAATTACAGGAGAAATGTGTGCACAAAACACGTACACATACTCACACATGGACCCAGAGTACTGCTGGAAATCCTCAAGCTGAACTTCTGTGGTTGCAAATGTAGATTGTGCTCAGTGAGGGATTTTACTTTCTGGGCACACTGCTGCTCCAGCCACTAACCTCTTCAAAGGAAATTACTGAAAGCTGAAATCCATTTACACACAGTTGGGGACTGTAGTTTTAATTAAAAGAGGGATGGAAGTTCATCAGAATCCCATGGATTTGGAGACTGGTGAATTTTTTAAAATTGTTCTTTGAGTTACTGGCAGTCGTTTTAATAACACTTTAGAAGATAGTCTGCTCATGATGTTGTGCTGATTGTTCTCCCCTCCACTCCCTGTCCTCCTTTCCTTGGGTTACTCCACATCTTATTTGAGAAAGTGGAGAAAGTTAGCTGCATACTAAGCTCTGAATTTCAGGTTTTTGCTCCTGGCATCTGTCAATGTTATGGGGAATTAGAACGTCCTCTGCAGTAACATTCCAACCTGTTGTATTATATGACATTATCTAAAAAAAACTGGAGATTCAGCTGTGTCAAGTGCCATGGGTTGTGATGTGAAAAACTAATAATAAAAATGGAAGATGGATTTTGCTTGTTTAGAAAAATATCTCTGGATTTTACAAGGGGGGAAGGGATATTATCAATCACATTCAATCTCTCATGCTCACACAAAAGGAACATCCTCAAAGCTAGCAGTGTATATTGCCAATGCAGTCGCCTTCCATTTCTCTCACATGTCATATTGCAAAACTAGCAGTCCATTTTCCTGAGCTGTGATATAAACTCAAAAGTTGAGAGCTGCTTCAGAAATTCAGAGTAGTTAAGAAAACTGCCTTCTTGTCTCTGCACTTTCTGGGAATCATTACACACATTAGTTCTTGTGCTATGTTACTCAGAACCACATGATAAATGATAAAAAATAAGTGCATGCTTTCAAGTAATATCTTCAAATATCAGCTGTTTGCTGTGGTTTAAAGCTCTGTATAATCTCAAAGCCTTGCATCTGAGAAAAGGGTTATTATCTATTATGTACACCTCACCGCTAGTGCTAGGACCAGTTGGCTTTCATCTGAGTCAGGCTGGAAAATAAATTTGAAAATAAAATGGAAGCATCTGAGCCTCAGTGAAAGACTTGGTGATGCCCAAATGTCTCCTGAATCTTCCATGTTCAAGAGAAGAGGCATAAATGTGAATGCTGTAACATAATCCAAGGGCATGTTACCCAAAATTATGGGACACTTTTACTATCCATGTGATTTGGCCTCCTAATAAGTGGTTTTGGTACGTTGGTCTCTGTATAGTGCAGGTGAGGAGAAATTACAGGGAAGACAAGCTACTTGTATGTATTCAGTTACTAGTACTGCTAGCTGTGTAGAGCTTCTGTTTTATAGGGGCCCACATTTGGCAAAACACTTTTAATTGGGTTTTTATCAATTTGCTTCCCTCTCAAAAAAAAAAAGAACCCTGATCTCAGAACATTATTAAACTGCTAGCTGTTATTATTCTCATCGGTTCTACGAATCTTTACAAGTTAAGCTTCCTTTTTCGTTTATTGCTGGGATATAGGAGATTGCTCTTTTTTCCCAGCATTCAGCAGTTCCTCATTTAAAAGTGCTCTGTTGTATTTTAAACTGCATGCTTTATCCTAATGCAAAGGGCATTAAGTGATTAATTCTGGCATTTGTGTTTCACAGTTGGTTGGAGAGCTTATGTTTTGTACGCTTGCCACATTATCTAGGAAAATGCTTGGAAAAACAATGTTCTGTTTCAGGCTATATGTTTCTGGAGTGCATCAGTTACCATATTTACTTTTTTTGTCCATCCAAAACTACATCTTTTGGGAATCATGTGCTATCTTGTAAGTGCCAACTTAGTTGAAGCAACATGTTTCTGTTCATTGGTGTTTAGTAGATATACTTACTATTGCTTTTTTTTTTACTACCTACCCCTGAGTTGGCTACCACTCTGTCACAAATTGTACCTCCACAAGCAAGGCGGTTTCATTTGTATATATGTTCATGCAAACAACACAAGAGGGCACCACTGTTAAAACTGCAAGCATTTTGGCTGCCACACCCATATTGAGGCTGATGAACATAAGATTCATGAGAAATGAGATGAAAAGCACCACAATAGAAACATATCCTTAAAAATGGGCAAGCAATATAAGTACAGCACAGGGGAGGGGAACAGAGAGAGGATGTAAGATACAAGTCTATCCACAATAGGCATGAGCCACTTGTCAGATTCTACCCTTGCTAAGAGGACCCTACTGGTACAACAGTGGTGCTATGTCTGCACATCAAGTGGTGTTTCAACTACACCTAAAACAAGGATCCCAATGGAACGAGTACTTTCTGTTCTCATATTGACCACAACTCCACTATTATTCGGGCCACTCTGCCATCCAGTTTCTAACCAGTCGCAATCCACCTCTTGTTGCTTCTGCTTAATGCTATCCTCAATCTTGAAAGGAACTATTGGCAAGCAGTTTGTTGGTTGAAATGATAACCTTATGGGCAACAAATTGTCACTAGTTCCTTTCATTGGGTGACCTTTGGCAAATAACACTTTTAGTCTCAGAGGTGCACTCTGATACCACAAGATGCAGAGCCAACCTTAAGAAATGGGGCCACAAAGTGGAGTCCTCAACATGCAAGTGTGGAGAAGAGCAAACCAGAGGCTACCTATTACAATGCAGTCTGAGCCCTGTCACATGCACAGTGGAGGACCTTCATATAGCAACAGTAGCTGGTCAAAGGACATTTGATATAATGCCAAGTTTCTAAATTCTGTATGTGTGTGTGTTTTAATACATTATAACTATACCCTTGGTTCACTCCTGATATGATAAATAAATAGTCCCGGGGGATTCAAAGACAAACCTCCTCTGAACCAATCTTACTAGGAAGACCCTACCATAGGGTCACCATAAGTCAAAACTGTATTGGAGACAAACAACAATAGAATGAAAAACCTTTCTCGCAAAGCATGTATAACTGTGTTACATTACCATTTTAACTTAAGAGATAGCTTTATTTCTTCAGAGGAGATATAGCTGAAGTTACCTTCCCCATTGAGGGAAGAGTCTAAGGCCCCTTCCACACAGCTGAATAAAATCCCACATTGCTTTGGAATATATGGACTCAGATAATCCAGTCCAAAGTGGATGTTGTGCTTTTCTGCCTTGATATTCTGGGTTATATGACTGTGTGGAAGGACCCTTACTTAGAAGAAGAGAAACCATGTTTCAGGCAGAGTCACATGCTAGACCCTCAGCAAATAAAAAGTTGATGAGAGTTTTTTATTCTATGGGTTAATAACTTGAAGTATCCAGATGTGTTTTTATTAAAGTACCCTACTGACTACCTACACTGGAGCATAGTTATACAGAGCACAGTACAATCCAAAAGCTGGTTCAGGGTACCCATTGTTATTCTGTGCTTTTTGATCATTCCCCACTACTGCCTCTACCTTATTCACTATAGACTAGTTAGGGTTCTGGGACTTGCTGCTCAACAATATCCGTAGGGTTACACTGCAATACAAAATCTTGTGAACCACTGCCAGGTCAGATTGGCTCATAGCATCAGGCTGGCTGACAGATTTTAATTCTTCTTGTTCACATTTTCAAATTCTGGTGGATTGACTGTGTACATTATATGTAATCGCATTTTAAACTGTTACTGAATTATATGTCTGTCTCTGATACTGATTTTATCTGAATCCATAACTTTAGTGGTAACCTAGATGCTGCAAGATGGAAGATTGTTTTTCCATGTTTGTTGTCTTTTCCTGGTGACATGCAATATAACACTGCATATTCATGGTCTATTAACATCACAATCGTCGTCATATCATACTTTCCTCCAATTCACATAATTGGCTATTGGTGACAGATGGGAAGGATACACAATGTCGTAAGATAATACAGAATTACACAGGATTGGAAAGGAAAAAATGATTAGCTCTACCAGATTATCATTTCCAAACAATTGCATAGCCACCTCAAATATGATTGGGACTCATCTTTACATGTGCTACTGACTACTTCCACTTACTACTTCCTATAGCTACATTTGGTTTGAAATGGGCAATCTTTGATTAGCACTAACCTTAGTTTGCTGCCAAACCACAACAAACCATTTTGAAGGCCAACAATGGTCAGCAGCAAACTGATATTGAGCCTGAATGTTAAGAAGAGAATTGGCATGTGCAAGCCAATAAAGCAATGTTTGATCTAGTGCCTATGAAGCATAGTTACTGCCCTATGCAATGGGATCAAAAGGAATTGTCCAGTTTCTCAAACCTTAGAGATATATTAAAAACTAAAGCAAGCTGTCTGAGAAAAGATCATTCACACAAGCCGGTGTGTTTGCTGAGTGTTGACATAAACTGAGGGCAGGAATAAAGCTTTGAATGAGCTGGGGCAAAACTGAAGTGACCTGGCAAAAGACAGATAGCTGGAAATGCAGGCAGCAACCATGTCTGAGACATCAGAAGACAGAAAACAACAAGTTTTGAAAGTGAGCCACTGACAACAGCATCACCACCACTGCTAGCATATACATATTTATTGTAGTGAATAGAACTGAACTTGTTTTATAGCAGCAGGAGGAAACAGGCCTCCAGGGTGGGGAAATACACTTTTCTGTGTATTTGTGTGGGCTGCAAAATTAACACATCTAATAGTAGGCACCTGAGACCTGAAGTGTGATAAATCTCTCCACGTTCAGTTATAATTCCTTGCTACTGAGGAGAGAATTTGACCCTGTGACTTTTAAATATGTTAATAGGGATAGGAAAGTGCTTCCATTCCAGCAATTATGCTCAGAAAGTAATTAGTGTGGAGGGCATGCTCTTGTTTCTTTAATGGGGAACACGAATTGTTGATTGCCATGTGCTGCAGATGTTTGTTCACCCACTTAGATAGGGTGTCAGGATTTAAATGTGTAAACCACTAAAAAGTTGTATAAGAATGTATTTGCAGTGAGGATGTTATTTCAAAATACTTCAAAATGAATGTGCTTATCTTTCACGGAGTGAATGTTATCTGGTGAGTGAAAATTGTACAGTTAACTGAAATTTCAACCATGTCTTAAGAGGGGGAAAACTTATCTGTGTCTGTATCTCCCATCATTGGAGGCCTATTCATACAACCTGGAAGGGCTGCTTCAGACATTCAAGACATGTCATCCCCTTTACAGTTTCAGTTCCCTTTCAGGGCAGTGGCCGATAGCAAATGAAAAGTTCACACCACATGGTGTGTATTGTACATTGTTAGGGCTCTCAATCTGCCATGTGCACACAGCAGGAGAAAGATGAGTAGAGCTCTTCCAAGTCACAGAGACTATACTGCCACCAGATATGTATGCTGTTTTTACTGCATTGCCTTCTCATTATTTCTGGGCTGAAGGAAAAACAATCCAATGCAGAGTATGCTAAACATTCTGCTAGAATATTAGGGAAGAGACTTCCAAAGCTTACAAGCAGCCATCTGAATAGCCTCTGTGTGTTCTGACTGTGCCCTTGGGCAAATCATTCACTCTCAGTTTCCTGTACTTCCACCATGTTGTTAAGAAAGTG